AATTTTTGTAGATTTTGTAGAACTATTGAATAATAGACCTTTGTACACTGCACTCGTGCACAATTGCACGTTTCAATGCACGTGTCAAAATTGTATGAACTGTAAATATTTGACCATGTAATGTGGAGATAATTTCTTAGATAGTCAGAAGATATATATCATATACCTAATTTCATTTCATTCACTATTGAATAATAGACCTTTGTACACTGCACTCTTGCACAATTGCACGTTCCAACGCACGTGTCAAAATTGTATCTCAGTTGAAAAATTCGCGAAGTCCATATTTTATCAAATGTATCTCAATTGAGAAACAAATGTTTTCGCAGAAATAATGGCTTCTCAACTGAGATACTTGATTAAAATATGAATTGTATCTCAGTTGAGAGAACACGCTTTTTCGTGAAGAGACACTTGAGTCAACATAAAAGTGTGATAGAGAGAAGGAAAAGCATATCATATTCTTGACAAATTGTATATTCGAATATCAGAATTCAAACAACTCTGATGTAGTAATGATTATCGAGACAAAACTGACGAATAGTTCGTTTTTCGAAAAACGTCTATTAAAAAAAACCTAATTTCAAATGTGAATAATTTCTGTTCTATATTCTTCTGAATGTTATTTCTCCTCATACCATCTACTACTTACAACATATGCGTATCGATACAAAGAAAAGAAAAACAATAGATATACACTCAAATATCTCTTCTATAATTCTCTTATTTTCCCTTGACACACGTGTATAGTAGATCTCTATACAAGACAAAAACAATATGAAATAAACTTAACAACTTATTGATTTTTGTTTTCTTTTCGTTTAGTTAAGATTGAAAATTAATAGTAATCATTTTTTTTTCTAGATTCAAATTCATATTTCGATAAAGAGTAACATGAGTACATCACAAAACGATATTCCAGAAATTGATTTGGGTACAGGAGATGGTGAATCAAAATATATATTAGTAAAATATAATGATAGAATTCTTGTACGAAAAGCAGAAGGAAAAGATGATTATCATAGTGAGTTTTTAACATTTATTAATTATTTGAGAGATGTTTGAAGAAGAAAAACAAAACAATTTATGTATTTTAATTTTAGATGATATTTTTAAAAAATTAGAAGGTCAAATTGGCAGTGGAAAAGCAGAACCAATTGGTGGTGGTAAAATGAATGTAGATTCGAAAAATAAGAAGATAGATGTACATGGAAAATCAGACGTATGATTTATTTTTTTATAAGAAAAATGACTTATTATGTTTTTTGCTTTTATTTCTTTCCTAGTCATATGGTCCAGCCGATCACAATCAAACTGTTAGTATATTAAAGAAAAAATATCCGGATTGGACAATTCAAGTTAGCAAAGATTAAGAATAAAAAAAAGAAAAATGATAATCATTATATTTAATCAAGCAAACTTTTATTTCTATATCTAACTAATTAAACTCGTTTAAATATCGATCATTTTAACGGTATGTTAAGGTCTCATTAATCGATCTCTTAGATTTGTAGAAACTGATATGTATTTATTAATAAAATTTTTATTGTCTTGTCATTTTTTTGTTTAAAATGCAAAAACTCGTTTATGTTGAATGTTGAAGTGCATTGCATATTAATCTCGATCATATCAACCTGAAGAAAAAAATAAAGTTCATGCAGAGTCGCGGAAACGTATGTTTTTCCTATTCACAGTGTCGTGACCAACGGAGGGATGTAGGGGGAGGGTGTACGCCCTCCTCTGCTTTTGAAAAAATAAAATTCTCTTTAACAATCTTTTCTTGTCTCGACAATTTCCTCTGCGCTCTTGCCCTAATTCGGTAACCAATCTAATCAATATTCAACGAAAACATATTTTCACTCACTTTGTCTCCAAAAATAACTGAGAGCAAAATCTTTCTCCCGCTTTCCTTCCATGACAAAATTTTCAATTGATGTCAACATTATTATTATCATTTAGTTATTCTGTTGGTATTCTGATGGTAGATGATGTTGTCTTCTCGTACTTCTATGATTTTCGCCCAAAAAATTTACATCCCTCCTGTATTTTCCTCTAGCCACGGCGCTGCCTATTCAGTTCACTCAATAATTCAATAAAAGATTTTCTAATTTTGGCAAGGCCTATTGTTCAAAGTTTAGGAAAATGTTTCCAATAAAATGATAAAAATGAATTTCCATAGGAAAATCATATTAGTTTCAAAAAAAAATTTTCTTGAACTTTTCTGACAGTATATCTCGCTAAAAATAGAAAATCTTTTGGGTTATCGAATATGTTGAATACGAAAAAGCACTTTTCGCGACTCTGTATGAACTTTATTTTTCTGTCAATGGTAAATTTATGAATTATTTTAGGTCAGATTATTTCATTGCTACAGGATTTTTCGATTGTATTGTAAGTAAAGCACTATGCATTTAAGATAAGTCTAAAGATCTATGATGTCTATTAACCTTATATTCGATTGCTTTTTTTTTCTCTAACGTTGAACGATCTGATCTGTCTCTCTTTAGTTTCATAATTTTATTAACAAAAATCTAATAAATTACATGCTTTGTTATTTGAGTCTCTTTTTGCTTCTTTGTACTTTCAGACATTTGAAATTTTATTCATATCTGTGTAGAAAAATGTTGTCATTATTTATCAAACAAATATGTCAAAATATTCGTTTAAATCCTTCTAATTCGATTGTTTATATTCAAAAATGTTTTATAAGTCGATTTTTAATAGTTGACGATGTACCTGAAGTTGAAATAGATAATTCGGGTGAATTTAAATATATACAAGTTAGAGTGACAGATAAAAATAATAATAATCAATTGAAATATATTGTAAGAGGAGATGCCGGTTCAAAATATCATGGTACAAATTGAATTTAACTATATAGTGTAAAAATGATGATTACTGTACACATTAATTTATTAATTTAGATGATATTTTTAAAAAATTAAAAGAAAAAATTGATGTCAATAATATTTCAGTGGAATGTATTGGTGGTGGAAAAATGATTGTTGATTCTACTAAAAAACAGATAAATGTATTTGGAAAGTCTGATGTAAGGTTATTGTGTAGTTATTTGCTTTAAAACATTAGAAATAATTCAATTATTTTAACTTTTAGGGTTTTGGTAAAGCTGATCATCATAAAACGATTGAAATATTGAAAAAGAAATATTCAAATTGGTCAATTGAGATTGGCCAAAATGATAAATAGGGATAATATGAGTATCATTGAAATGACAATTTTCAACATCCAATAATTTTACTTCTACAGAATTGTTGTTTTGTATTTTTAAATGTTTTTGACACTCTGGTAGATTATTTAAATAAACGATTTCACTTTCTCCAATAAGAAAGTTGAAAATAGGAACGATATAATTTATGAAAAGTTGAATGAAATAGAGCGAAAAAAAAATCTATTTTATATAGAAAATGTTGCTACCGCCATCTAATTAAAATCTTATTTAAAAATTTTGAACATCCTTTAGAATTTGTAATAAAAAAAATTTTCTTTCCTTTCTTCAATGGTCTACATCTATTATGTTCAATGATTATCCTCTTTTTCTTGTCATTTTACGCTCTAATATGTTTATAATGATAGAATGAAGAATTTGTACATATATGTCTTGTACATCAACAAGAGAAGGGCGTTATTCTATTCATGGTATTATAATGCATCTTAAAATGGCAACTCTAAATGGAAAAAAAAGGAGAAAGAAAAAGATGTGTATATTATTTCTGGAAACGTTGTATGAGAAAATCAGACGGGGTAATATTGGGCTATTTTCTAGATGGTTTTGGAAATAATCTATTTCTTCTCTTTTTTTTCTTGCACATAAAGATATTATCAAAAAAAATCTATTTGTACATATCATACACATTGTAATACGATCGGAGAATTCTTCTACTCTTTTTTTTTTCCTTCAACCTAACAAGGCATCTTTATTCTCATTTTCTGTTTGTACTGTATCCTTTCTTTTCTACAATCAGCCAAAGTAAGTTCTATTTTTGCAGACAATCCTTCGTTGTTATTTGTTTTGTGTGCAAATACACGAGATTTCTTTTCCATTTCGGATTTCTAAAGGAAAAATTGAAAAATATTTGAATACTTTTATTTAGTAGTATCAAATAATTAGTAAGTTGACTATTTTATGAGAACGATTAAGTTGGAGTATTTGGTTGTTTTTTTATACAATTAGTGGCCTCAGGATCGGCATTTAGCAATGTGCTCAAAGCAAAGGAGGATATGCAAAAATCTCCTGAACAGTTGGAGCAGGAAAAACGATCAGTATTAGCTCAACGTGTTCAACCACTTCAATTAGACGGGAAAAACAAAGAACAATTGATTGAAAAGGTAACCGCATGTATATTTTACATGACAATGTGAGTGTGTAATCTAAGAAAAGGTGAAAACTATTGATCTGAATTGAACACATTGTTATCAATACAAAGCTTAAGATTGTTTCTACTTATGGGTATGAATCTGAATAGAAGTACAGATCTACTATGTAACATTCTCATTTGACTAGGCTAAACAATTACACAATTTGTTAAGTCAATTGCATGGTGCAATCTATGAATTAACAGACCGATTTGAGCGACAAAAGTACGATGTAAGTGGTGAGAGTGAGAATACATATTTATTCAGTACTGATATACTTATTGATTCTCTAGATGGTGGAATTAAGTGAACGAGCCCGTCAAATCGAAAAAGGGTAATTAAAAATGATTTTATTATTACTTATAGGATTATAGACAGCGATGATAAACAGTGTTCATACATCCCCTCTTTTAACTATGACTTTTACGTACGTTCTACAGAATCTCACAACCTATTCAAATATGTGTCGATTGAATAAATACACTTGTAAGAAACATGAATAACATTCGCTTTACTAATCTCACTGGTGTTCTTGAATGAGATCCATTGACAAAAGCCGATAGAACCTAAACAAATACAAATACTTAGCTCTTATCCATAACATGAAAATACTTTCAGAAGCAGCTGGGATAAAAAAGTTGAATAGAGCTATAGATACATATGTGTATATATACATGTTTTAGTTTCCATTTTTTCAACTTTTAGAAAAGCTAAAACTCGTAAATCAAATATTGTACATACTGGTCTCGGTGGTGGAATGTAAGCATGATTATTGTATTTGTTTCATCATTCAAAAGTTACGAAAATATTATTTTTATATTGTAGATTTAGTGGTATTAATGATGTTACCGTTCAAGCACCAGTATATAAATTTACTTTAACTTTATAGATCTATTACTGACTTCTTTCTTAATTTTTAGCCAAAAGTATCACTATTTTCACGATATGAACGAGTTACGGATCGTCGTACATACAAAGATCGTCGAGGTGTGTGGGCTGAAGAAAAGAAAGCTCAAGAATTTGTAGCTGAGCGACCAAAAGCTAAAATAAAACATGTTACACCGTATGTAATCAGATTTATTATTGTAACCCAAAAACATCATCTTATTCTGTTGAATTTTTTATAGACCACCAGAAGATAATCCAATAAAAAAGAAAGGTGAAGCAAGATCTAAACAGTCAGACGAACAGGTCGAGGAGGCCCATCCACACGAAGAAGCTCCCGCTGAAGAGGAAGCGCCGGCTGAAGAAGAGCCCGCTGCAGCAGAAGAAGAGGAAGAAGAAGAATAAAAATTTGATTATCGTTTATAAACATTTTTTCACTTATTTATCGTGATTTCTTAATTTTTGTCAGTAAAGAAAGAAAATAATTTTTTGCAAGTCTATTACGATAGAATTGATAACAGTCGAACAAAATAAAGAAATTTTAAAGAAATTTAAATAAATTTTTTCTGTATACCATCATTGGCACCTTATGTTTAAGGTTCTTCTGTTAGGTGAAGGAGAGTTAGTAAAATAAGATTAGTTACATCTAAATATTTAATTTAATTACAATTCAAGCACAAAAAAGTTTGAAGCAACTATCTTTTACTTATGAAATGAACGAAGCCCAGCAGTATTTTTAACGATTAGTAGGTCTAGCAGGAACAAAATAGATTTTCACTTTGAAAATTGCAATTTTCATTCCGTTCTTAATAAGAAGAACGTAGAAAATACAGTAGTAGGTCGAAGAGCTGACAACAGGAAGAGCGATGTGATCGCAGGTAATGATAATCAGATCATCAGCAGATTTTGGGTTCATTCATTGAATAAAAGTCTGAACGAGAACAAGGGACAAAAGAAGATTTCATTCCTGGTTTCGTTTTATCTGATGTGTGGTACTCACTCAGACAAATTTGCTTATTATTGAAATTAACAATTAGATAGTTCAAGCTCTTCTCTTTAAAATGAAAGTCAAGGATATTTAAACTTCGTAGTTTAGGCATAAAATCGAATTTTCTGAAGATTCCATATATCAGGCGAGTGTGGATCATATCACTGGAACAAAAAAAATAAAGTTGGTTTGAGTTGCTGAAAAGTGCTTTTTGGTATTCAGCATACCAAAAATTTTAAAACAAAATGGCGTAAAAATATTTTCACGGGAAAATAATTTTAGTTTGAAAATTTTTCCTAAACTTTTGGAAGTACTTGTCGCCAAAAGTAGAAAATCTTCTGGGTTATCGAGTGTGCTGAATATGAAAAAGCCCTTTTCAGCAACTCAAAACCAACTTTATTTTTTTTCCGATCATCAGCATTCTAAAGATGTCAGGAAACATCAGATAATAACGTCGTTAGTGTTTTGAGCAACCAAGTGCTTTTGAGAGTGCAGAAAGGATTGGTGCGTTTTATAGCTAACCAGAACCGACGAAAAAGAAGTAGATGGAGAAGTACAAGAAATACATGTTTACATCTTTTGCTAACTAACAGGCGTAATTAACGGCTAAAAGCAGTCATATATCAGAATACCATTCAGTTTTAGCAACATTTACTTTAAGATCTTCTGACTGAATACTGTACAAGTTTTTCTATCAAATATAATCGCAAGTCGGATGGATAATTTTAAACGCATATTGTTGAATAGCTTATGTAAAATGTGTTTTTCTATAGACAGCATAGAAGATTTAGCTTTCCGACTGTCCAAAATGAATAATTTTGTCCGTTCGTTAAAAAGCTTCGAGCTGATTGACGCTACTGGAATTAGAGTTCTGTGGGACAAACTTTTCTGTTGCCTCGGGCCCGTAATGTTGTCCCGTGAGAAAGATTTACGGACATTTCTGTCCTGTGATTTTTTGAAATTTTTTTTCTGTTGAGATAAACCGTGATTGTTACAGCAGACGCTTACAGCCTCAAACTTATTTTTGCAAAATCCGCATGACAAAATTTAAGCCTAATTTATTTGATTCTAAAATTAAACGTTGCTCTATTTAAAAAAATGTTTTACATCCACTTACTACCTTAGAATTGAAAGGAAAGAACTGTAAACCGAGTTTTAGATATGAAACACCTCAAGTTAAATTCAGACTATTCCACTTCACTAGGTTAATTTTTATTAGTTATTATAAAATTACGGTCTTGATTTGACAGTATTACAAGAATTAAAACATTTGAAGTTGCAGCATAATTACAATCAAAAGACAAAAACTTACGGAACAACATTTTGCTGCGACTTGTCCCGACCTCGTAAGCCCGAGCCCGTGAGTCCAATCCCGTTCCAAGTTATTTTTTCTCCCGAGCCTGTCTCGTCCGCGGGACGGAATTTGGGGCTGCCTTGTAGGACTCTAACTGGAATAGTGTCGCTTGAAAAACATTGAAGGAGAGCAACCGAATATTAAATGAACAATTTAGAGCCTCGCTTTTCTCATCAGCGACTTTCATTGATTTCTACTTCATACAATAGAGAAAAGGTGATAAAGTTAAGTACATTATTTATGACCTTCCCTCTCACCTAATTGATTTCCCTTTAAACTTTGTATAATAGATTTATCTCTCTTGTTTCATTCGAAGAATGCATTAGAGAAATAAGTAGCCAGTAGCATAAAATATTTTATGCAATTTTTAGATCAAAATATGGCATTATTTCGTTATTCTTTACCATTATCAAAAATTAGTCTAGCTTCACCGTTTTCTACATCGTTAGTTCTACAAAATTCAAAACGAGGAGCAGTCACAGCTCCGTCAACAACTACCGTCGAACCGACAACCGAACCTCAAATACAAGCTGAACAGGAACAAAATGTCATTACCAATTCATCTCCCTATACACTTGTGCCAGGTAAAAATTATGGTACAAATAAACTTGAAGTAGCATTAGCCCGTCTTGATGACGTAGCAAATTTAATTCGTCGTGGTAGTATTTGGCCATTAACATTTGGTTTAGCTTGTTGTGCGGGTAATAACTACTGGTACAATCTCTTATTCCATTAAAAATATTTTCATTTATATAGTCGAAATGATGCATATGGCTGCACCTCGTTATGATATGGATCGTTTTGGAGTGGTTTTTCGTGCATCTCCAAGACAATGTGATTTAATGATTGTTGCTGGAACATTAACAAATAAAATGGCACCAGCTCTCAGACGTCTATACGATCAAATGTTTCATCCAAAATGGGTTATATCTATGGGCAGTTGTGCAAACGGTAAATTTCTTTATATACTTTTAAAATTATCGAAAATTTAGTATTTATTTTAGGCGGCGGCTATTATCATTATTCATATGCTGTTGTTAGAGGATGCGATCGTATTATACCAGTAGATATTTATGTACCAGGTTGTCCGCCTAGCGCCGAAGCCTTATTATACGGTGTGTTACAGTTACAGCGAAAAATTAAACGAGGACATACGATGCAGAGTTGGTACCGAAAATAAAATACCAACGACTTTATAGTCTTTTTTTTCTAGTAGTATTATTTTAAGATGAGTCTGTTGGCGTTCCATTTATAGTACAAAACATAATGCTAATTTTTCAAGTCATGTTTCTTGTACTAAAAATTCATAAATGTACATAAACTATACGTTTTTTTACAAAACAAAAAGAAGCCGATGCTCTTTTGTAGAATAAAATCCGAGATCATTCATCAAATTGTTTCAGTTGCAAGATATTCGGCATGTATCTACATCTAGCAGTCCGTTTCTACTTTCGCGATGGAGAAATATATCCCGATCAGGAAACTTTCTGAATCGGGAACGATGTTATCTCATGATTCATATGTCGTCTAGAATGCGGGCAGTTTTTATTCTACTGCTTAGCTATTTTACATTTGCTCTATGTAAAAATCTGAAGCTGATCTTCGATCGTTGGTTACGTGCGATGCTAAAACAAACTTCTTGTTGGAATATCACTTTTTTAATTTCCCAATCGGGAAATAGGATGGGATATTTCCTGTTCGGGAAAGGTCAATTGTTTCCCGTTTGGGAAATATGTATTTTTCGATCGGAAAATGGTGTGATAGTATGCAGTGTACTCTTCTTAGCACTCGTTTTGGCTTTCTGAGTGCCAACATCTCAGCCAGAGTTGCCAGATGTGCACACATTTTGCACACAAACTCCGGATTTTTGAGTTTTTTCCCCATTTGTCTGCATTTTCTTTTGCTGTTTTCCCTGAGTTGAAAATTTGTTAACTCATCGTTATCATGCACTGAAATTTATAACTATTTCTTATCAATGCCAAAACTGCTTAAACTTATTCATTCTAATAAAAAATATATCGTCAAAAAACAACGTGTCAATTAAATCGAGCTTTACATTTCTGTTTGTTGTTCTTTTGTGTTTTATTCAATAAAATCACAAAATGCTAGAGAAAACATTGTTTTGACTCGCTGCACTTGAAAAAGGATGAAGTGAGACCGTGAAAATGCGTTTGCATTTGTTTTCCGCATTCTGATAAAATTTTCCGCAATTGTCTGTATTTTCGAATTTTGTGTCTCAAAAATTTCCAACAGGGTTATGTTGATTATTTTACATGGACTGATAAACCAAAGTGTTCTCTTCAAAATGGGATCCAAGCGAGATGTTGATTTTCAGCGGTTGAGACATGGTATGAGGTTTCCTTGGCGTCTCAGAACCGCCACTCGGGGACTATTGGCGACCTTGAAAACGAGTGAATTTTAGCTAATTGGCCACACTGAGTCTCGTGACAATATTTGTTATTAGAGAAACAGTTAAAAACTTAGCGAAAACTAAGTTATAAAAAACTTAGCGCATTCAGGCTGTTTTTACCCAACATTAAAAAATTCATAATTCAATCGAAAAACACCAAAACTTAAGGATATGGTTAATTTTGCTTGATAAATGTCATTACATGATCAAAAATGTTTTGTCCAGGTGTTTTTTAGAAATCCTTTGGGAAACCATAAACTTTTGTAAGTTCTTTTTTGTAGATCTTTTTTAAATAGGATATAAAACAAACTAAATGCTATACATTTCTGTTAGGTGAAGGAGACCTTAGAAGATGATGCAACATTAGAACATTATGCTGACCACTCAGTGAGTTGCATCATCCTTCTAAAAGTGTAAGAAGATCATTGTTTGTAGCAGTCGATTAGTGTTGATATTTATAAAAGAGTCAGTAATCAAAAATACTTTAGCTTGATCATTATTTTTAGTTGTGGTTTAGCGTATCGACTCGTATTCTTATTCTTCAGATTTACGAATGTTGCAGCCGTTGAAACATATTTTAAGTCAAAAACAGTTGATTTTGGCAAGTGGCTCGCCGCAACGAAAAGAAATTTTAAAATCAGTTAATTTAAAATTTGATATAGTTGTCTCAACATTCGAGGAGAACTTGGATCCAAAAAAATATTTAACAAATGTACATGAATACACAATAGATACAGCTCGTCATAAATGCATCGAAGTTTATAACAAGTTAAAACAACATCAACCACAGAATAATCATCTCATAGTTGTTAGTGCAGATACAATGTGTTCATTTGGAAATGTAATATACGGAAAACCAACGAGCAATGCCAATGCGTGTGAGATATTGAAAACATTTCGTGGTAATACACATCAAGTTTACACAGGTGTTTGTATTATGTATAAGCAAAGAGAGTACACATTTTATGAGTGTACAGATGTGACGATGGACGATATTGATGATCAAACAGTTGAATTGTATGTAGAAACAGGTGAGCCAGTGGGTAAAGCTGGCGCATACGCAATCCAAGGAATTGGAGCAACATTGATAAAAAAAATAAACGGTGATTATTTCAATGTAGTGGGTTTTCCGTTGAATCGATTTTGTGTAGAATTAAGACGTATTTTACACGATGAATTGTCGGCATGAGAAACATCCACATCGTGGAACAAGTCCAATTAGAGAAGTATCAGTTATTTAATTCAACAGTGACTATCAATAAAATTGAAAGGAACGAGATGAAGATCTGCACTTTTTACCCCCTGTAAACTTAATTTAATCGATCTAAAATCTGTTTTAATAAAAAGACAATCTGTTCAGAATCCAACACAATAGCCTGGAACTTTCGAAAAATATTTTCTTTTATCTTATGGAAATAGTAACGTGGTCAGAAAGATGAAATTCTATGTTTGATGGTTTAAGAAGTATTTTTCCAACATTATTAGTATTTATTGTAGTTACACACTAGTCACTACTAGATTATACAGGTGTCAGATCGATTAAACTGGGTTTGTGTCACTGTGCAGAGAGCAAAAAGTGCAGATCTCCATCTCTTTTCTCTCAATTTTATCGCTAGTCTCTGCTCTATTAAACAAAGAATAATTATTAAACTGAAATTGAGTAATAATCTTAAAATGGTTTTCTCCGATGTGTTACTCTCTGACATTTTTTAATTACAACTTCTGATTGTTTTTTCCTTTTTGATAAGCGTTGTTGTTCTAAGAAAATAAATTTGTTGCAACTTCTTTTTTTGTAGACCTGGAAAGTTTGCATAGTAACTTCATAGTTTATTTTTTACAGGTCTGAGACTGTTTATGAATAAATAGGAGAATCTCTTCAAATATTATGTTTATAATTTTAGATTTAAAAGCAGTCAGTAGTTTAATTTCTCAATAATTCTATTACAGCTCAATTGAACATGAGAGGTATTAGTGTATTGATTATCATTAGCTTATTAATTGTCGGATGTGCGGTACTATTGTCAAGAGTTCGCTCTATCGAATCGATATTATATCACCTATTTCATCATTTAGATATCATATTTAATTATCGGCTGAGTTCAAATTTTTTTATTAATACCATTTATAAATATTATTTCCAAATATTTGATAGGGATTCACATCGTTCTGAATTTCAATTGGTTGCTCCTAGTTTATATATCAGTAATAAATTTGGTTGTTACAATGAAAACAAATTAATTAAATATAATATTACTCACATTTTAATTGCTGGCAGTTTGTTAACGAAACGTTTTCCATCGAGGTATAGATATCATCAGTTAAATCTAAGAGATATTCCAAGTGAAAATATCGGACAATATTTCGCTGAATGCGTAGATTTTATTGAACAAGCAATCGAAAGTAAAGGAACAGTAGTTGTCCATTGTAGTGCAGGAATGTCACGATCAGCCGCCATTGTTGTAGCTTATTTGATGCATGCAAAAAAACTAACGTTTGATCAAGCCTATTCAAAATTAAAGGAAGTTCGACCTTGTGTGGGTATTAATGATGGGTTTCAAAAACAACTGAGAGCATGGCAAAAGGAAGGAATGCCGCTGTAATATTTACTTTTATATATTTGTATTGTATATTTACTTTTCATCATTGTTTACTTGATAGTTTTACTTCTGTTTATTTTTTGGATTCATTTAGTCGAGATATTCCATGTTGACGGTGTTGATATCAGACTCTGATATCTGGAAACATTTTATTACTCTAAGTTGGAAAACTATTTTAACTGGAACAAACATCGAAGTTAGACAGGGAAATTCAGTATTTTAGCCAGTTTTTTCGGACGAATCAGGCTATGATGAACGTCTATTTATGGTTGATCAATTAATGTCATCATTCGAAATTTTGGCGTTTAAAAACAATGAAAATCTTATGCGCTTGAAGACTACTTTAGCTGAATGACAGATAATGTTCTGTCAGAATTCCTAGTTATGAATCTTCTTTTCTGAAAAAGTTTTATTCTTCTCTAATTACCGCTGGACCGAGATCTTTCTGGCTTATAGTGCAGATATATTCATGTAAGATGATATTCTCATATAAAAGAACTATTTTTACCTTGCCTCGCATAATACTTTTATCTATTTTCTGAAAAAACATCATTCTTCTATATACATGGAAATGAAAGAAATTCTCATCAGGTGCATTTTGTCCTTGAAAACTTTTTGTGAACGATGTTAGTTAGGATTATGATTTTTATTTAAAATTCTTGTCGATTATAAGGTGAAGGAGTTTCTTGTCAGCAGATATTTCTTTGTAAATGCTGCCATTCGAAAGTTATATGCAGATAATTCATCTATTTTATAACACAAACGAGTTTTAATTTTCTCATACAATAGTCGTCACTTCTAAGTGTTGAGCTGATCTCTTCAATGTAATGAACGATAAATAAATACATACGAAACTAGGTGGTATACTGTAAAGTTGCATGATGACCATTTATTTGGCATTGATGACTGTTTAGTGTAAAATTAAAAAAATTGTTAAGCAAGCGGTAGTGTAAAAAGCAGAAAACTAGGACTTCTCATCATGATTACTATAGCGATCATTCGAATCGAAGCAAGTACTATCAAAATGTACCACGTAATCTGATTGAAAATTGAAAAACACGAAAATTCTATCAGAAAGTCAGTTTATTATGCATTACTTATCAGAGCTCCGTATGGACTGGACTGGGCTGAAAATTTTCTGAGTTTATGAACTCGGACTGGACTACTGGGCTCAAACTTTCAAGGCCATGGACTGGCCAAAAAATATTTTATTTGTAAAATTAATAAATTATATGATTCATGATTGACCAGCATGGTTTGCATTGATTCGTACTTGGTAGTTGTTACCCAGTATTCACTGGTTGAATTCAGTTGTCAGATATCATGGGTTACCACTACCTTAAATTGATGTATGAGTTGTTCCGGTTTTAGCCATTGGAGATTTTGTTCAATGCCACATAGGACATCTACCATCGGAATTGGATGTTAGATACATCTTTCAAACACGAGTTGTAAATCAGCCACATGAATCTTCCGCTGAATCGCTATGTCTCGATCTTCTATGATGTAGCTTGGGTGGTGTTCTTGAATGATACTGCGCAGACTCGAGTAACGTTTCTCTAATTTTGAAATATGATTAGGATTTCGCCATAATACTAAGTCATTTTCTTTGTAGATCGGGTCGGGTCGATTTATGTCAAATCGTGTTTTAACGAACTGTTGTTGAATTTGAATATTTAATCATTCATCTGCAGTCCGGCACGTCTTTTTCACTTTGTCACAATGAAACTTTCCTTCCTTCCACCTATAATTCTAGTTCCAGATGACCTTTTTGTCTTGAAACCTTTTGTTTTGAGAACATGCCTGCGCTTTTGCGAGGATTTGCAGTAGGTCTTTTTACAAATTGAGTTCGCCTTTGTTTAGTCCGGTTCACTCTGGTTGGAAAAGTCACGTGGATCAGTGCACTCTCTCCGAAAGAATAAAGTGAACTGGTTCCCTCTCTTTAAAATTCGTATTAAAAGCACTGACTCAATTTCTTACTTTACTTTCAGAAGTTTTTATCGAAGCACACAATCACAATCATCCTGTAAGTATTGTCAAACAGTCCTTCAGTATTTCAGCGCTTCTTCAATGTGTATTTTTTGTCTTATTTTAGCTTTTCATTTTATGTCGTTTGGTACGGCAGAGCCTGTTCCCTTTACGGAAGGTATGGAAATTGGTAATATTGTTAATGTTCAAAAGATCGTATGTCAAAACCAGGCGAAACAATGTTGATTACTCCTATTGAAATGTGCCTACGAGACCTGCTTTCGGAAAGTAGCCAAACAGTATTCGATTTACACTGTAAAGAATTTTACATGAAAAAACATCATATTCATTCATTTGAAGAATTTAGTCGAAAAGCAAGATATGCTACAGGAAAAGATAAATCTGAATTATTTGATTTTTTCAATAAAGCCATGCAAAATGCTTTGATTAAAGCTGCAATAGCCACAGGTCAATCGACATATGATTATAATTAGTATTTAAAAAAATTGAAAACTAAGTTTAATGCTGATCATCACGTACAAAAACCTGTTTCAGATTTACTTAAAGGTAGGATTTAATCATCATTAATTTAATGTTCAGAATAGTTGAAGACACATGAGTGATGTTTATACAGCAGTCGATCCTGATCTGGTCGATAGTTTTGTTTACCTGTTTATCAGAACTGTTGTATAGGGCAAGACACGTGGTCGAATTCGACTACATTTGTCGTCGTAGGTGGTTTTCGATTTTATAATCAATTTTAGATGCATACTTGCCGAAAATAATGCGACTAGTCTATTTTGAGTCTGTCGAACAGTTTTTTCCTGCCAATAAGACGGAAGATTTTTCCTTTTTAATCCCATGAACAACCTCCGCATAAACGAATACGAATGAGCTTTGACTCAATAAGTTTCGACAAACTTGACTGTTAGATGCAAACAGCGCTTACATACTCCACCGTCTCAAAAACTATGTCTACTTTTTTCTTTTATAGATCTCTCACGTTATTTTGAAAATCAGGCAATGAAAAGTTCATTCGAACAACGTTTGTGCAGCCTATTTCAAAATGATCGAATTAAATATGGCTGGGTGTTAAGACAGAGCTCTCATTTCTTCGATCTCTAGTCTTACACGAGCTTTTATGGCCTTTCGACATAGTCAGTCATTTCTTTCTCTATTTTGTTCATTTTCATTCTTTCTCATTTTTCTATATATATTCACACTCCATTCTATATACACGGTCTGGTCTTCTTTTTTTCCTCGATATAGTCAGTGCACACATACAAGAAGTGTATATAGGATCTGCAATACAGCAAAATCCTCATATCCCTCAACTGTAAAGGAAACGCATACAACAAGTGAATACAGAATCTGTAATTCACCCAAACTCTCAAAATCCGCATATCCCTCAACCCTAGAGAAAACCCATACAACAAGTGAATACAGATTATGCAATGCAGCAAAACCCTCAAAACCTGATATCCCTCAACTCTAAAGAAGACACATACAAGAAGTGTATATAGGATACCCCGAAATTTGTTGAAGTTTCTAGAAGTTTGGCGACCTCTACCTTCTGACCAATAAAATAAATTTTAAATAAACCTACGGATAAGGATAGAATTTTTAAACTAATAGGTCAGGAAGTGTCAGGCAAAATAGAAAAGGTGGATGAATAAAGAATCTGCAATACTGAAAAATCCTCAAAATCCTCCTATCCCTCAACTCTAAAGAAGACATATACAAGAAGTGTATATAGAAACTGCAATACAGCAAAATCCTCATATCTCTCAACTGTAAAGAAAACACTTACAGCAAGTGAATACAGAATCTGTAACACAGCAAAATCCGCATATCCCTGAACTCTATAGAGAGCACCTACAACAAGTAAATACAGATTATGCAATGCAGCAAAACCCTCAAAACCTGATATCCCTCAACTCTAAAGAAGACACATACAAGAAGTGTATATAGAATCTCCAGTACAGCAAAATCCTCATATCTCTCAACTGTAAAGAAAACACTTGCAGCAAGTGAATACAGAATCTGTAATACAGCAAAATCCGCATATCCCTGAACTCTATAGAGAGCACCTACAACAAGTAAATACAGAATCTATAATACAGCGAAGCTCTCAAAATCCTCATATTCCTTAACTGTAAAGGAAACGCATACAACAAGTGAATACAGAATCTGTAATATATATTCTCCTTTACGTGTATTAAATATGTTATATAATACACTGATCTTAACAGTTATCTGCTATGGTGATGTAATTTATTCTCCCACTTAACAGCTAGGGATTATCAGAAATTAATTTCCTTTCAGTACAAAGCAGGATGTGTCATTAGCGGTGCAATAAGAGGGTCTAAACGAGAAAACGTGTTGAAACGTCTTGGCTGGCCAACGTTGCATAATACATTATTTATCCACAGAATGATATTATTTGATAAAATTGTGTATGGAGACGCTGGTCTACTATTGAGAAATTGTCTTGCTTATAACCCATCTAACACACGTTCAAATAATAACCTAGTTTTGAAGGAGAAAATGTATAAAAAGGATATTTCAAAAAAGACATTTTTACCCGTATGTGTGAGTGAATGGAATCTTAAAAGCATGGATAATTTTAGAAACATCTTTTCGAAAAAAAAGTTTATAAAAGAGATATAAAACACCTATTTCCCCACTTACTTCAAGAGACTATTAGTTGAGCGTAAGTATGAAAAATTAATGTTTCAATTTATGGTCGATTTTCCACCATTAAATAGTTATCTGTACACTCGTAATCTAGCACCAAGTGAGAACTGTTCCTGTGGTGCTCGTGAAACAATTAAGCATTTCCTCTTTGATTGTGGTCACTATCATGGTGCCAGAAAAAGAATGCTAACTGAACTTAAATTTGGTCAAAATCCCTCCTTAATTGACTTATTTCCATCTGACACGTTCACACACACTATAGCACACACTTACATTGCTGTAACATCTTATGTACAAGAAACGCTTAGATTTAACTAATAATCCGTTACTGTTACTCTATTTTTTCTACGTATTATGCTATTGTTCTTTTTGATTATTTCTTATCTCTATTTTATTTTTTATTTTTTTCTCTTTGCTTAGTGTCTAGTGAGAGCTATAATGTATTTTCATACGACTGAACTCACTTAAATAAATAAATGTTTAGATCAAATTGAACTTCTTCTGGCTGCTTTTGTCTGTGAATGCATTGGCGTGTTTGATTTTGTCATTTCACGTTCCTGACTCGCGTTTGATCTTGTTGTTCAAAAGCATCTTCGAAAATTCAAAACTTTATTAAATTAAGAAAACTTTTAAATCTACTATTTTGCAGAGGAAGTTAACTGCTCTAAGAATGAGTTTCAATGCAGTTAATTTGTATTACAGAACTGAAAATGGAATGAAGTAAGATATCGTTTGAATAAATTTGGACAGAGCATCGAAACTAGCACTTATCACCATGGTTTTGGAAACATTTCAAGCTGTTAAGTGGTTGTAGAGCCAAGTAATCTTATTGCGATCTTTTCATGATCCCACTAATTTGGGTACTAAAACTGGATAACCAACTCAAAGAGACTAGCCATCTAAGTTCATCCAAATCGTTTACCAAGTCGATTATTGAGAAGGACAAAAAGACTCTTAGAAAGTCAAACGTCGCGTTAGGGTTACTAGTGCAGTCCATTCTATCCCAGTTCACTGTACTTTCACTAAACTCGAAATTTCTTGCTGCACATCACTATCTTTAAAACCGCGACAGTATTTTGCACATCAACAAGCAAGTACCTTAATTACGATGATAGCAAATGTAATCATTCTGAAAATGCATGGGAAATCCATTTTGGGCATATTTTACAAGATTTGCCGTCAGGCCATGTAATTAGCTATAACTTTAACACTTATGCTATTTATACAACCTTTTAAGCTCTATCGAATGACCAACTCAGTTTCTTGAAAAAGTCTCGTTTTAGAAAAATCAACCTATTTCTAGGGAGGATTTTTGCTAAAAGCTTTTTGCGATTTTATTCCAATAACTTTCCGAGCACTCTTTTTTAAAATCAAACGTGGATTCTTAGAAAACCCGATTCGGGCTACAAAACCAGCATAGTGGAATCTAAGCGGCTCGAAGTCATGTGAAAAGGAGCATGCAGAGCTGATGGAGCTGCGTGAAAGTACCCACTATCAATCAGTCGACATAATTTTTCCAATTATAAAAACAGACTTTAAATAAAAAATTAACTTCGGATACTTTAAGATTACTTGCAAAGCTTTCAAATAGATATCCTATTCCTTCATATTCAGCGTTTGATAATATCTGAACGGCATACTTCAAGACACTATTTTTATCGTTTAAACGAGAACCCATCAAAAACGATGAGTTGCAGTATCTTTGTTTCTCTACAACAAGACACTGTCTTCATCATTCATTCATGTTTTGTACATTCATCTTTGTGACAAAGATGAATGTACAAAACACAAACATAATTAACAACAAGTTATATCAGGATATGTATAGGTATAGTTTTATTTGTTTCTAAACTTCATCGATCTTGATTTGTTTAATTATTAACATGTATTGAGTGACTATTATTAATGCTTGCCCTAATACCTTTTTCCATGTTTCTCATATACTGATCAGCTCTACGCTCTAGAAAGAAATAGGGGAAAATAGGACAACGTCTTATTGTTTTAATGATTGCCAGGCTTTTTTTTGTTTAAACATGACAAAGTTATAGCTGACTTTACGGTACTTGTTGAAATATTCTTGTTATCTCATCATAATGTTTCCTTCACTTTCATATACTTCTATGCATGTAGTCCTTTTCTGAAATATTTTTGTTGTTTAGCAACCGAATGCTAGTATTCGTGATATATCGTGTTTACAATTACGGATGATGTGAGGAAACCTAGTTATATATATGGATACAAAACATTTTATTACTTTAGTCTGAAAATAATCACGTTTACGTTCGACTGAATTTCAACAAAGGGTTAGTTGAAATTTCTAGACCACTGTCGGTTGTTTGGAGATGGCTCGTATTCTTCAGTGTGCCGGTAACACACTGGAATTGCACATATAATTTCCACGGACAGAACGAGAAAAAAGACCGAAAGAAGAATAATTCTTCCGTTTATTTTTCCATAGAGAAACGCAAGATAAAAATTCAGATTACACAGTGACAATTTGCACATCACTTTGGACTCGAAATGCACACTTGGCGGATAAACGCTAGCGGGCACACTTTATTTTTTACAGTGCATCACTTTATATTACTAATATACATTACAGTTTTGCTCGACTGATTTACCATATGGGACAGTCCTCAATATACAAAAATGTCCGTGCATGGCTCCAGAGAGAGATAAAATCCCAATTAGAAAAAAGTGATCTTTGCTCTGTTACTCACTTTGGAATTTATGTCCGGTGAGATTTCAAAGCGTAATGTCGAGCTAAAGGAAATACTGGAATTATTATTAGTAAGTA